CATAAGTACCATAAGTACCATAAGTAACATTTCTGTTACTTTTCGCGTGACCTTGGATCGGGTAAGGATCGTCACCCAGATTCGGGCACCCGTGATCCCAAAAATTGGGCTCACAATATGTATAATTCTTCAAAACGTCAGGGATCTTGTAGGGAGTGTCTTTCTATCGTTGTGCTTGGATTTACTGGATTGTATAAAACCTTAACACAAAAATCAAGGTCATCACGATTTTATTTCAAATGCATTATGAGGAAAAAATGAATTATCTTGAAATTCGATCATCGGATAAAGAGTTCGTAAAAAACGAAAAAGTGAAATAAGAGAAATAAAGTAGCAAAAATTTTATAATTTATCTTGACAACTTATCATGATGATATTGTTACAGTATCAAATTTAGAATCAACTTAAGTTGCTTTTAAATTTCGTATCAACTTGGGCTATGTTTGGAATTCCATTCCAACTTAAGTGATTCTATACCTACAATACAGTAATTTCATTCCGACATACAATATGTATAATGCCAACTCTAACGAATAATTTTAAAATTAATGAAAAGAATCTTGAAGGCAAATTTTGTTGCTGACATTTATAAATACTGAAAAAACTTGCAATAGTTTTATTTTACCATTTGATAAATTTTTACAAAGCACAACCAATAAGTAAACATATACGCTATTATTAATATCGAAAAGATTTGCAACAAAAAAAGACATAATTATGAACACGTTAAGAAAAACAGAACTAAAATTAAGAGCTATTACATAAAAAAAGTGTGCAAAAATTATTAAAGTTCTGCGGTCAATCAAAACATGGCTTTCTAAAAACAATAACATCTCTCCTTTCTCACAAACTTTTTAATTTTTAAATGGTGTTGATAAAATCCAAGCATCTAAATTATAATAAAGACAAATTTTAATAGTAAATTCGTAAACCATTTTAAAACTGAAATATCAATCTCTCACCTTTTGCGGTGCCTTTTTGTTCACTTCCTCTATATAATGCATACTTCTCACTCCGGAATTCCTAAAAAAATGTTGATAAATCACGTATTTGCGGGGGTTTTTTTTTCTTTTTTAATAAAAAGCATACCATGCAACAAAGACTACAAGTCTCTCGTCCTTTATTTCTACAGATTCAATATCGCCAATATCACGTTCCCAATCCGAAGAAGTTTCCGGTTCAATATCATCCAACTCAAGTTTAGGTTGTTTTTCTCTCTGCTTTTTATGTTTTATTTTTTTAGGCTTAGAAATGTCTACTTTCTCGGATCGCTCTTCATCGCTGCTTGAAATATTTTTAGGTTTTCGTTTTTTAGACCTTTTCTTTATTTCATCCAAGCCAGTCGATGATGAGTATGATTTTTTTGATTTTAATTGTTTTTGATCGGATTTTTTAATAGATAATGAATTCCAATATTCATTAACTAACTTTTGAGCAAATCTATTTATGAGATTAACAACAATTGGGATTAAAATGATCAAATGATAACACAAGTTTTCAAAAGAATACCTACACATTTTTTGACAATTCCCACGTATTATCTTTTTCATCCCAACCATCCCATTTTATGAAATATTCCAATTCACCCTAGAAAATAAATAATAATAATTAATCGAGATTTTTTCTAATTCTTATTTTTAAAAATGATTTATATACATGATCGTTAAATCTATGGTCCACAATTTTTTCAACCACATATTCGTCATCCTCAATATCATCATCATCGTCAATGTCACCATCATTGACGTTGCTGTCCACACTTTCTAATTTTTCATCTTCAGGATCGAAACTATATGGAGATTCTTCCCTATTCCAAAATTGTGAATCCAACTCCCAAGCAACTTTTTGAGAAAGTTCCAACCTTGAAAATTTTTCGACTTCATCATGTTCATTGGAAAAATTCATAAACGCCTCATCGTTGGAATTCTCTAAATTTTTTGAACAATCATATTCATCATTTTCAACATGGGAATTGCCATCACTGAAAACAACATTTCCACCCATGAAAAAATTATCACCGTAAATAATACTATGATTAACATCATCATCGCCAGGAATAATATTATGAGGAGTCATTATTTTCCATTTAACTACAAGTAGAGATGGAAAACTGAAAGTTATTTATGGAGAAATTAAGCAATCAAGTGACATAATAAGAGTTTGAAAATTATTCATTTTTAAATAATTTGAAAAAGAAACTATAAGGTTCTGAGCAGAAGTAGATGATGTAAAAATAAAGTTATATAATGGCATCATCATAAATAAATCAAAACTTTAACACTTTAAAATCGAGTTGCACTTTGGAGAAAAGCATGCAAGTTATTGTAAGAACTGTACGGACTTATTATTTTATTTTTTAATTTAAGCCACTACAAGTTTCAAAACATTGCTAACGCTAATGAATACTAACAGATAAAAGTTTTTTTTTTGAAAACATTAATAGTTATAAGTCTGTACATTATTAAAAAAATAATACAGTATCAATAAAAAAAAAATAATATAGTATCACCAAAGCAAAAATAACTTCTACTACAGAATACATAATAATCGCTATTATATTTGTAAAAAATAATAATAATTAATGGTGATACATTTTACTCGCACCAGCCTGGAGTAATTTCAGCAATTTCTTCTTTGCGTTTTGCAGATTCAACTGTAATCATTAGTGTGTTAATTACATTTTCATTAGAGAATGTAAATATCAAATAATGTTTATTAAATACAAGTATAACATACTATCAAACTTGATACATTCAATATTATCCTTTTCGCTCCCGACAATGACTGGCAAGACTTTCGGTTTACCACTCCCACTAATGTAGATCCTTTCAAGTTTACGATTATCCCCGATTTGGTTATTAGCGTTAGCGGATTCACTTATTTTAGCTGTCACTTGAATATCTTTCTGTTCTTTTGGTTTCTCTGAATTCTCTTTTTCAGACGTCTTTACTGTGGTGACGGATGAGACAGGGCATTCTTTATAGCATACCTTTTCATCAATAACATTAGGATCAACGTATATATTTTCCATTGTTATTTAGAAAATACAATCACTAAACATCCTAAGGAAGCGAAGAAAAAACATGGGTATTTTACATATTTATAGAAATTTCGAAACAATGATTCTATTACAATGTCATTATTTTGATGAATGTCATCCATTCAGACCTAAGTCTTATTTAGTTAATTACGTATTTATGATAAAATTGGATTACTGTTAACGAAAATTACGGTAAAAATTCAAATAATAGAAATTTTTTATTATAAAAAGTTGACCATTTAGAAACCAATAACCCCTTATGTTCATCTGATATAACATGGTGATCACAAATCTGCACTATATAAATAGGTATCGCACACAAATTTACACCTGTTGCTGCATTTTCTTTTTTTTTTCCAAATGTAGTGAAATTATTATTATTAAATGCCAGAACTTTTAGCAGATTGTCTTTACGAAATATTTAAATATTTGAGGAATGATGATAAAGATGATAGAAAATCTTTGAATACCTGTATATTCGTGAGTAGACTTTGGTGCAAAAATGCCATTCCTTTATTTTGGGCTTGCCCTTGGTACGACGGTGAAAATTTTGTATATAAACCCGCCATAATTAAGACAATTTTATCATGCCTATCCGATGAATCTCGTCAAATATTGATATATAATGACATTGCAACATCTTACTTTAGCTCTTATCGTCAACCCTTATTTAATTATGTTAGTTATTGTCAAAACTTATCTCCTTGGATAATTGATGGAATGATTCATGTAATATTATCAGACGACCAGAGCCAACTTAATGATTTGACATTGGGCTATAAAGCTACTATATTGGAACATGAATTATATAAGTTGTATATGTCAAAGGTGTCTTCGATCACTCAACTTGTTTTTCCTGATTTCCCTATTTTATATATGCCTGGTGCAAGATTATGTTTATCTCATCTTTCGGATCTAGATTGTAGTACTGATGATTCTCCGAGGTACTTTTTTTGTCTTGCTGAGTTCTGTCGAAAGATTCAAAGGCTTCGTGTTTATCCTTGTGAAGAAGACAATCAAGGCTTGGCTACTTTAATTACTTTGCAACATCGTTTGATTCATCTGGAGTTGAAAACTGACATTGGTGAAATGGTGGAAAAATTATCACATATTGGTGATGCTCTTACTACTCAAGCTCATTCTTTAATTTATATTAATGTTTATAATAATTTATTTTTTTCTACGGAACATTTATCTTCTTTTGTTTTTCTTAAAGTTTTAAAAATTTACGTCACTTCTGAAATACCAAGAAAGTTCTGGTTCTGTAACATGGTTTTACCTCACCTCGAAATACTAGATATATTTCGTGATGAATTTACTCCCTTTAGAATTTATAAGTGTTTTATCGATCATTCTTCATCTAATTTTCGGAGAATTTATTGGAACAGATTAATTGCCGCTCCTCCTGATGATAAAGAAATTCAAGAATTCATTCGAATTATCTCAAGATCAGCTCATTCACTCAATTTTGCCACTATTTGGTATTCTGATGATTTTATTGATGATTTTACACAATTATTGTCTCTTTGTACAAATCTAGTTGGAATTAAGATTTGTGCTAAAGATTTAATCGAAGATGGTACTAATAGTATTATGATTAACGCTGAAAATATTTTAAAAGTTATTATTGATAAAGCTCCAAAAAATTTTTCTATTTTAAATTTTGATGGAAATTGGTCTTTTTCTTTTTATGATATTGAATCCTTTTTTTACAATTGGAAATATAGAAATTTGTCAATTTCAGGTCGACCATTGTCTTTATTTATTTCTGATGATTGTGAATTTACTTGGGGGTCATCGGTTGATGATTTGATTAATAAATATGTAAATGAAAATGGTTTAAAATGTTTTAGAATAACTGAGTTTTTGGATTTAGAAGATAAAGAATTTATAGATGTTATTGATTTTTAATTCATTTACTTGTTTTTTTATTTATTTATTTATTATAGAATAAACATTATATTCGTTATTATGAATTAATATTTCTTAAATGTCAATAATATCAGCTTTGAAAGAATTATTCAATCGAGCAACTTTTTGCAATATCGATACCATTACCTTATGTGAGTGATGAAAGGGAGAACCTATAAATCATTTCACTCATTATCAATATATGAGTGAAATAATTTACAGGTTTTCTCTTTTCGTCACTCATATTATGATACATTGTAGAAAGTAGCTTGTATAAATTTATAAAACTGATAAGTTCGTATTATCTTAGTCTATCTCAGCACAATTGGCGTTGGTAACGTTTATTACTACAGGTTCTTGATAAATTTTCAAAATTCAGGTTAACACGATATTGATGATTCTATAACTTGTAAACTTTTGCTTGACTTTTTACAATGTCTTAGAGTTGTATATTGAGAATTTCATCAATGTTTGTCTCTACAATGTTTATATAACATTTTATGAGTAAGGCCGTTCGAAATTGATTCTTCGGCTAACATCACCCCCTCAGCTGATGTTTCGCTCCGAAAAATGAACAACCAATGAAAACGCTGGATAACTCTCACCAGTCACATGATTGGCATCGACCAATTAAATTTACACATATTTTTTCATTTTATATGTTCGTTTCATTTTATTCATCCCTCCTCCCAAGAGTTCTAAAAGTGATGTTAACCGAAAATTTAACTCCAAGCGGCCTAAGTAATTATCAACGAAGAACTTTACCCTTGATATTATTTTGATTAATATAATTATTATATGCTTTCCAACAGTAATATGTTGTGACATATAAATGAGTGCGTGAGAGTGAAAACCTGGAAACCGATCATAGTAAATCATTAAATCGGGTTTCAGGTTTTCACTTAAATGTCGTGCTTTAAGTTGGCACTTCCCGAAACTGCAACTTCAGGTGTTACAAAAAATGGCGTAATAAATCAAATAAACATAGTTGCTTTATTAAGCTTTACACCGATTACGACATTTTTCGAGCTAAAAATCGAATATTCTATGTTATGTAAACCGAAAAATTAATTTTGCGTAGCCTAAGATTAACCAAACCGAAAATGCCCAAAATCAAATTATTCTTAAAAAAAAAGGTTAGAAACTAAATGGTGTTAAAAAAAGAATAGTAATGATGTACCTTTAAATTATTTTATTATTTCATAGAAATACTTTCTGCTTTCGATTTTGATAAAACCGAAAATCCAATTTTCAGTAAAAACATTAGGAACGGGTTTACATAAAGATATTACCAATTCATTATAAATTCATTATAACAAATTAAGCAATCTTTCCATGCTTATGGTCACATCACAAAACAGGACTTGATTTCCTATGATCAGTTACAGACCTTTACTTTGCAGCATATATTGATTTTATAATACTTGATATTACTCAAATGCCACTTTGGTATATATTTCTTTATGTATTACCCTCTATATCATATGTAATACACTCGACAAATGTACATATTAATTTACATTTATATTAAACCTTTAGGTTGACCGATAGTCATAAAAATTATATTATTTTGGTAAGAAATTGATTTTTTAGAAAATACTCCGGTAAAATTTGTTCAGGAACATATGAGTCTCATTATATCATTAGTAGATTTTAGACCTTGTTTGCAAGCGCAACAGCAATTCCATAATCAAATGGAAAACAATGGTTCTATCTGACACTTTATTTTAAAAGATCAGTTTAATTTTAATGGGCAAAATTGATTTTATCGATTAACGCAAAATCGGCTATAAATCACGAGTCCGAATATACTTTAATAAGGATAATTATCTCACATTACACACTTACTGAGTGAATATTTGGTATTACCAGGTAAAAATTCATAGCATTGTATGTCCGGAGCGAGCGTTAAATTTTATTACATTTACTATACTATATATGTGTTACGATTTAATCACGTGACGTGGTCGGACAAACAGACCTTGCATATCACCCTTTACAGAAAAATATAGTCCTCCGCTACGTTCCGGACAAAAAATCCCAGAATTGACATCGACTTCTATTAGTATGGTAAAAAATGAACAGTTTTCTTTAATAATAATAATATTTATATGAGGATGTATGAAGAAATTTTTTAAAATGAATTATGCACAAATAGAACATGATCCGGGAATACGGAGTTGTTTATCCGAAGTATCCTTTGTTAAATTTACCAAAAAATCTTCATTCAAGTGTAAGACATATAATTGAAAAGAATTATAAAAAATATAAAAAACTTTGTTTTTTTTTCTTTTATTTTGATTTATTAATAACAATTTTTTTTTTAAAAAAAATAAACGAATTAATATATAATAAAAATTGAACCGATGTCGCAATTTACTAATATGGAAATAAGCACGACATTGTTATATATAATGACTAAAAATAAACCGGAGTTACATGTATAGCTACCGGAATTAATAAAATAATTAATGGAACTCGGAATTCAAGTTAATTATAAAAATTCCTGTATTCATTTTAATTCGATTTTAAACTATGTATTAAAAGATTCCCATCTTCGTAAACTTCATAAAAACCGGAAAAATCATTTCCGTAAATTTCTTGCACAAAATTATCATCAGGTAAACTATTTCCAACAGCTTCGTATTGGTTCAAAAATTCATTATCGTAAACTTTCTGGCCTACATCGTAAAACTGCAGGCTATCATTTGAGAAAGAAACGTTATCGTTACACGAACTTTGATTTGTACATGTGACACCATATGGGGTAAAATCTTAATAAAATTATAAAAGAAAATGAAGTAACCATTAGAATATTTAAATAGTTATTTGATAAAATAACATAAAATTAATCATTACCATCTACGCCATTATAAGTCTCACATTCATAACTATCATCTCCATCTACTAGAGAAGAGACCATATCAAAATATCGTTGTATACAATTATTACAAATGTTGTTTGTATTGTCTTTATTTTTTTTAAAACAACTTGGGCAAACGGGGAAAATACATATTTTTTTTCCCCTGCATTCACTACAACTAGTTTGATAAGGTACCCCATTGCATCTACGCTTTTTTCGTTTGCACTCTAAACAAGCATGAAGCGCACGGGGCCTTGACTTCGAAATTTGAGCAAATTCTTCGTTGTTCATTCTGAAAAAAAAAACTGCAAAAATGATAAATTCTAACAAATTGATGTAGTTTTATAATTTATAATTTATTTGTTACAAAAAAAAACCCCCCCTAGATTTATCACGTAAACATAATTCATGAAGTTGATATTTTTTGTTTAGTCATAGATTAAAAATTTTTTCCCATAAAATAAATTGATAAGAAAAAAACTAAGTAACGGCCGACAAACTTGTTCGATTTGTGTTTCGATTTGTGTTATAATTTATCGATTTATCTTATTTTCTTTATTTTAGTTGCACTTATCCGAGTATGACAATAAATACAAATAATCTGTATTAACTGCGTCATCTAACCTGTAACTATGTCATCTGAATTTTCAAATATTATAATAACACTTGAAATTATACAGAAAAGTTAACCATTAACTGTTAAAGAAAACAATTACAGCAACCCGTCAGACATCTATATTACTCGAAGGGTTGTTATAACTTTGACGAGTACCCAACAAAGCATAAATTATAACAGATAATTCTTTGAAATTTTCTAACTTTCACGTTTATAAGTTAAGCAGTATTGGCGTAAGGTAAACAATAAACTTGTAAACATACAACTTAAAAAAATACAACTTAAAAATGCTTTGTATTTTGCAATCATTTTATAGTTTATCTTTACAATTTATAAGTAAACTAAATATGCATATACGGTAAATTTCTGCCGAATATATTTATAGTTTGAGTATTTTAACAGAGTTATCAGTTTATCCTAGAATAGGGATGGTTTTGGCATATTATATAAGTTCCCAACTTATCGGTCCAGAATTACATAAGGTCCCAATTTAACGGTCCAGATTATGTAACTCTACCCTGGGGGCCCGTAAAACGGTTTGTTTATTATATCGATATACAAACAAACTTGAATATCTGCACATGTGTGAACAAATCTTAAGCATAAATTTTTAAAAAAGTGTTTAACCAGTTATACGTTATACTCAAAACCGAATCACATGACAAGTTCTTTATGATAATCTATTCGCAACTGAAAGCTGAAAACGTTGAAAATTAGACTTAATTTAATATAAAATGGTTAAAATTGTTGAGGAGCACCTTCTTTTGTTTTTTTTTTATAGTTAGGTTAGGATTTAGGGGTAATTTTTGATAATAAAAGAATATACGGTTTGCTCTCGCTATATCTGATTGTGAGGCTGAGAAATTTTATCTGTTATGATGAATAACCACGATGTAATTACTGTATGTAGCATGAAAATGATATTTTGAAATTGTTCTAAAGAATTAACGAAGGTCCGAGGGATCCGGTTTAAAGGGTCCGTATAACGAGGGTGAACTATATGTGGATATTTAACAGGGTTATATTTTTATGTAGAGGCCCTAATTTTCAGCTTCAACCAAATTTTATTATTTTCTTTTTATTATACACAAATTACAAATTATTCCATTATTGGGTGAGAAGGCGAAATTAGTGTCGCGATAATAATACAAGTAAAGTTACTTAATATGATTTTGAATTTTTTTTTTATCTTATTTATTTATAAATATTTTTTTGATTCAAGTATAAATTTATCATGAATTTTGTGATTTTGGGAACACCAAGCTAGAATTTATTATTGAAGAATTTTTTAATTGCTTAACATATTAGAATATTTCCAAAAGTAGATAATTTCCAAATTAGTTTTAATTAACTTGATTTTATATTACTCATACAATTTAAAGTAGTCTTTTAAACAATAAACAAAATAAAGTAGTTAGAAGGTTTCATTAAAACCGCAGAATTACAAAGTAAAAAAAAATCTTTAAGTTCATCTTTTTAAAAAAGGTTAATCATTGCAGCAACTTTTTTTAGAACCGGATAAGAAGAAAGTTATTACTATGCGAACTTTTTTAAAAGATAAATGGTTGCTTTTCGACCTTTTGTTTAAAAGATAAGCGTTAAAGAAAGATATATATATATTTTTTTTACAGTAAAACCTTATATAAATCCTTTTATTTTATTGTGTTGTTTGTTGTTTTTTTTCAGTATTTTAAATTGTATAAATAACATTAAACTAATTTACGATTCAGCCACTTATACGAAGGTCCCACCATGATGCTGCCTGTAGTTTTATGTTTATTTGACCTTAGTAAATCATGATTATCTGTTTTCTGCGCTCAATGACATATTAAAGAAAATTTTGAGAAAAAGAGAAAAAGTAAAAGAATTGTTAGAGATACATGGGAAAATTACTTGGAATATATATTCCGCGAAATGAGATCATAGAAATCAGGATCAACTTTGTGATTTTTCTCATAAAGCATTTTAAAATTAAAAAAAATTTATACGTATTAGATTTAACAATTTAAAAATTACGTGTAGCATTATCCTCATAAATAGTAAAATAGTAAAAGTTAAAAAATTCTATTATATTAACAAGTGAGACCTTATCATTAATTAATAAAATTTTATTTATTTCATTGAAGTTTAAACTATAAAAATATATAATTATATATGTATAATTTTACGGTTAGCTGGTCCGTATCGGTATACAATTAATTCGTACATGCGAAAAAAACAACATTTCAATCAGGTATTTTTGAAAGATGAGATTATCTTTTGTTTTAGATTACAAGCTTAAGACAAAAGAGAATTGAAAAGTGTAACTTTCTTTGAAAAATTTCCTTTCCTTGAATCCAAATCAGTGTCACGATGTGGATGGATTAACCGCTTTTTTATCATTTATTATGTATAAATAAATCAAAAAATGTGATAAAATTGAAAATTAACCGACAATACATAACATATTAATACTGTAAAAATGAAAAGCTGTTTAATGTAGGCAATATGAACCTGTATTGAGCTTAGTTCCGGTTTGGCATTATATTATATTAAATTATTAAGTATTTGACATTATTATTAATTTACATTACTTAAATGATGGCAAGTTTCTAGTCTGTACGGATACGTATGTACCAGGGTTCTGCAAACACTGACACGGCCTATTAATAGTACTACTCAATGAAGAACCTTATGTATCAAAAAAAATCCTGTTTTAAGTAATATGTAAAGTCATGCATATACGTAATTATGATCGTACATGCATGCATTATTATGAAATATTGGTTAAATTCAAGTCACGTGATTTTGACCGAAGGAAAAAATAAAATAAGCAATAAAACGTATGAATAATTATAACTCCTAATGTACGATGATATACCCCATAGAAAAGAATTATTTGTCTGATAGTATAGGAGTGTAGACTCCATTATTACCGGCGTGATCACCATGGTTACACAGTTTAATATTTCTATAAATATTGGAATTTCCAATTTATTCAATTTTCCGAGATAAAGTACTTTGCGAACCAATTTTTTTTATTCAATAATTCCGAAAGTTAATATATAGTAAATAAAACAAAGCAAGTATTTTTATCCAAAAATCGATGGAAGTGTATTTTGGGCATTAACGTCTAGTACAAATAACATAATTAACATCATTAGTAAAATAATTCCTTTTTTCCTTTTTCTCGAATACTAAAAAATAAAGCAAAAATTACAGAGCATTTGCAAGACCCAGGCATTCATTTGAGTATAAAAAGTGCAACATTCGTCGTTATTTTTTTTCAATAAATCTCTAATCTAAATAGGTGCAGGTATAACTTGTCATAACCATAATGAGTTACGTCGTAACTCAATATAATTACGACATTATATTTGTGCATATTTGTGTAAAAATAGGGTTAGAAAATTTATCATGACAAACACTTGGGTTAGTACCTAGATTTTGTAAATGCGCTGTTAATGGATAGTCACATTTTCCCGACAGGCAATTCCGATATCACACAGGGTGACATATTAACATTTGTTGGCTACAAGCATATAATTTGGTAAATCGTCGCCTCATGTGATGTCGGGAAAATGAAAATTAACCTTAATCCTGTAACTTCATAATTAGAACAAAAGAAAGTTACGTACTTCTGAAAACATTAATTTCGTCGTAAGTGACAGAATTAATTTCGTCGTAAGTAACAGAATTAATTTCGTCGTAAGCGGCAGAATTAATTACGTCGTAAGTGGCAGAATTAATTACGTTGTAAGTAGCAGGATTAATTACGTCGTAAGTGGCATAGTTAATTTCGTCGTAAGTGGCATAGTTAATTTCGACGTGAGTTAAATATTGTTCATCTATGTTTTACAATATGAAAAAAAGACAGAAATAGACTCAATGTTTTAATATTTATTCATACATTATATATTCTCAAAAAAAACCCCATTCCTACCTTCCATTGATGTATCTTTCATTTGACCGTGGGAAAAGTCATTGGTTTGGATTGCTTTATCCTTTTTTCTAAGACATTTATCACAAATCTTATTTTTATTTTTTGTCCTTTTGGAGCATTTTGTACACGCAGGGATGTCGCAGTATTGGTTCTTTCTCACACATTCAGTACATGGAATTTCATGAATTTCATCCACTTTTCCGCCTTTACATTTTGTCTTCGACTTCTTACAACCGAGGCATGAAATTGATGTGCGTGGCTCTTTATTTACCCACTTCAATTTCTTAAAACAGAGGCAGTCAATTGATGTGCGTGGCTCTTTATTCACCCACTTCATAAAGTATAAAGTTGAAGAAAATTTGAAGTTTTGGAGTTTTAATTCTATTTTAAAATTTTGAAGAGAGTTGTGGAAATAACGACTTATTGTGTTAATATAATTTTTGGTAATCTTTTATTTAGGTTAGACAAACTAATAATTTCAAATTAAATAACATAAAACTCTCAAATCTTTTTTTTTCGTCAAGCAGGTAAAAGTTTATATAATAAAATGCAAAACGTTCGTACAAAATATTTATTCTCAACAATAAAAAAGCAAATGGCGCTACAAACTGCATTAAACAAATGTTGATCAATTCAAGAGGTCCATATCGTCTCCAGACAATTACCCCTTTAACTGTTATCTTATTATGAGTGAAAGCAGTTACGGGGTACGTGTCTGAAAATGATTTATAAAAGTAATTATCAGACAGATAAAATAGATAAAAAGTGTTTTTACATAATAAAAAGACCTTAAAAAAATGATTAAGCACAGTATAAAAAAAATAACTGTCTATTAACTCTTAGAGTATCCTAAAAGTAATTATAATTCGTTACAAGATTCATTGTATTTCACTACAACATTTTCATCATGATTTATTATAAATTTTTTTTACGATGAATCACTTTGCAAAACCTTGTAATGAAAAAAAAAACTTTACAGAGAAAACTCTCAATACGATGACTCTTGTAACTGATCATTACATGTAAGTACTTTCAGGGTATTATAAGAATTAATGGGGATCTTTTTGTTTTATATTGTTTTTACTTATTTATTAAAGGTCCTTTTTCTCAACTCGATTATTATAACCTGAATAACAGGTCAAAGGCGTAAACAAATATTTTCATCACCAGTTATTACGGTTTATATTTTTTTAAAAAAACCGGTTTAATGCACCTTTTAATACAACTTTAATTAAAAAATGCATATGTTTGCATCGCTCATATCATGATAAGGTTGGCAACTTTGGTAATAAGATTACACAATTTATTACATTTTTTGATGTAATATAAAAATGATATTGATAAATTATTGTAGTGTCTTATATATATTTATTATAACATGATACAGGTAACATAGTGATAATCACTAACTAAGGCTATGCAATTAGTGATTATAAATCATTAAAACGTAAAATTTAAATTACAATATCTTTTAAATCAGTAAATATATACAAATAAATTTGTATTTATTAAATTTCTCTTGGTGCATCCTTTAACATAACAAGACCTTTTCTTAGAAATCACTTGATTTTAAATTATTTGTTCTTTTGTATCTTTTTATACATAACAAATAAAAGAGGTTTGCTATTTTGAAGAGTGCATGAAAGAAATATAATTAATATAATAATTTAATTTATACATTTGCTTTTTTAAAATATTGTAATTTGTATCTTATAAAAAATCTTTAATAATAAAACATATATGTTAACTGTAATATAAGACATTCCAATACATTATGGTTACTATGTGATCACTCATTAGTTGGAGTAATTATTCATAAGTTTGATCACAGGTTTTCTTTTGTCAACACTCATAACGATAAGCTCTATAAATGTCATGTGATATATCATGTGATCTGGTGAACATTTGTGATTTAATGATATAGAGGATTGCGAGCCTTGTACTTGCAGAACCCAAGATTGGATAAACATTTATTAAGTGACTGTATATATTACAATTGATAGTAGAGAGTAGATGATAAACTTCGGACAAATAAGTATTTATTTGATATAACTGTTTTTCAATATAAGATTTCCTATGTTCACATTTTATATAATAATATTAATTGGTTTTTTTTTGCAGTATCTATATCCATTATATTTGGAAACTTTCGCTTTGTAACTTGGGAATGTTTTACGAAGTGACATCATTGAAAAAATACATCGAACATTGGAATTTCAAAATTTCATATGTGGAATTATCACAAAAAATTATAATCAATATTGATGAACCATATTTAAGAAATTTTGATATTATAAGCGCTTCCAGAACTTCAGAATTCTAAAAAAAAAACATATCTTCAACCCTACTCTACCTGACCAATAGAACATTTCATACTATATAATTTATATTAAACGACCAAAGATTAAATAAAAGACGGAAAAAAGATGATCATGTTGTTTATTGTTTGTAAATCTGTACCGGTTCAGTACTTTTTTGTGCAACCTAAACTAGTTATGGAATATTTTCGGAGCTAATTCCATATCATCACTTTCTCACAACTATGTCGTACGTACTGTACGTATGTGAGCTAAATGAAATGGTTAGTACAATATAAAAAGATACTGTATATATATTTTTTTTATACAATAAAATGATTGCATATACGTAGTTATTTTTGATTACCTTTAGTTCTTTAAACAACCCAAGTAAGGTATATACAAGGAATCAATTCCTACGAAACAATGTATATTACAACTTTTGGATTATAGAACGTCTAGAATGTCTAATTTAATGTTCTTAGAGGGTTCGCTGTAATAAAGGTAAGTTTAGAACATAATTACTTAATTTTGTTTATTACATATAAATTTATTTTATTCTATTTATTCTAATTTGATTGCACAGAATCTGGATTCAGTATTTTATTTAAAAAGAAAGAACCATAAAGTAGTATGACAAAGCGATACTTGCTTATTAAAAACCGTTTATACTGATTTCCTTATAAGTTGTGATAACTAAAAAAAGAATCACTTTAACAAGTAAATATATTCTAAATAGAAGTAAATAAAAACTTACGATAAGCAAATAATGATTTTTTTTTTTTTTTTTGGCGCTAAAGTTTATTTATTTATTTCGTTAACCCGTCAATTTTTAATTATTGTAACATGCAATTTCCAGTACCTTCCCTCATTAAAATATACCCCAAAATTTGTGCCCTGGGATTATAATAAACGCAACCGGATAAATGTCGTAACGGTAGATTATCATTTTGTGCACAATTATTCAACACTAGGATATATCGATATATTGTGCTCAGATCTCAATTATTACCATATTACTGGAATGAAAGACTGTGCTTAATGATAGTCGACATACGCACATTATACATTCATAGGAATCGTGTTACCATGATTACGGGTAAATTCTGGTCACAAATTTAATACATAAAAATTTGAAATTAAGTTAATACTGTAATATGTAAGTTGAAATAATGTGGAGCTTAAAGTTTATTCTCTGATTGGCTATTTTTTGTATCACAAATATGTACTGTACATTTCAAGCGCGAGAACTTATTGTGCGAGTGGAGAACGTAAAAAATGATTATTCCGGATCAGCCCGAAACAAGAAACTGAATGTTTAAAAATGACGGTAATGAAATTTTACAAGTGGAAGGAATTATTTATTTTTATCGCCTCTAACTTGAACTTTCCTTAAATTTTTAATTTTACGAACTTAAGTTGAATTCCTTTCGGGGGGGAACGTTAAAGACAGGTACCAGTTAAGGTTATTTTTTTGATGCAGTTAGGGTGAGCACGTTATATGGATATCAAAAATACAATTTATGCAGTATGTAGATCATTATATGAATGTACCTGGTCTCTTTTTTGGGTTTGTATCACTCGCACAAATATATTAAGCAAGTGCAAAACAAATGACATCACATGTATATCATCATTTAAGTCAATCTGATTGTTGTGATTAACATTGATTTTTTTGATTTTTGTCATAACGAGCTTAGATTAGAAGGAGAAAAGGCTTTAGAAGATTTACTTTGCAAGAATACACATAGATTTCTCTTTGCAAGAATCTACTTGATGAACTTGGATCAGAAAAAAAAGTAATAGTAGATGTGCTTTGCAAAAGCACTACCTGACTTCCTTCGAATCTTTATTGGAATAAACGTAGTTCAGAAGAAGGAACAGTATTAGCTGACGCGTAGTTGGCAAAAAGAAAGACGCGTTAATTGACAGAAAACTTGGTTAGCTACTTTAAAGAAACTATAAGTAATTTTACTTTGGTTAAAAAAGATTTTCATTCAAGAAACGGTTAAATTCAAAAACTACTAAAAATTACCTTTCTTTTTTTATATATAAATTTTGAACTATCGAAACAGAAGACAGGATGATGACTTCAAACTCTATCGTTTATGAAGTGTCGACATACAACAAACCTTAGTGTCTTATTGAACAAAAATATTAAGGTGATAAAGTTTACAACTTCGAAATAATCTTTTGAAAGAATTTAAGCTAAAGACCACCACTCCCATTCTTTTAACATTTTTGATTGCCGTTCATATTTTTTAGGGAAATCAACACCATCTTATTAAAACTTTGCATTAGTATAATTTTCCTCAAGTCATTAAGTACAGTACGATTCTTGAAAATTTAAGATACTAAGAAAGTGCATCAACTTGAATCTATTTCGAACGTTTGAATTTGAAAATTACAACGAAAAATAATAATTTTGGATCAAGAGAGAAAAAGCATTAGCAGATACGCTA